TGACCGGACAAACGTACATTTGAGTCCCTGAAATCGAATGTTACCAAAAATGAGTTTGTTATAGAAATAGTAAGTATTTATTTTATCGTATATTTTGTTTTGTATTAATCAAAAATAAGTGTTGAAGTTGTAGAGCATTGAACGAAAGTCCAATTTTCACAAGATTAAGGGGAGAGACGGAATTTACTTGTCAACTAAGGAGCTCGTTTATAAGTTTACAATAAAATTATCAAACTTCAACAATTAGTAGGAAGTTTGAGGGATGCTTCTATAAACCAACGACATAAATAAATCCGGTCAACAAAATTCGAGCATTTTAAGCATTCGATAAATACCTGGTGTGTCGCTCGGTTTTTCGAGAGAAGGCCTGAGTCCAAAACTGAATTGCGGTGCATTGTCCAGTCTTACCTTTTCTGGGCAATAAGTACCAGGTGCTGATATCATAATACATAAACAATTTATTTATTAATTTCCACACGAGTAAAACCAACGCATTTTAATTATGATATTATGATATTATACTCATCTTGCAAAGTAATAAAATAATATATGATATAACTGAGAGAAGAAAAATTTACTTTACAAGAGGATAGGATTTCAAAATCATTCGCCACTACTTGCAAAATTATTTAAAATCCACGAATTTTTCCTTTTAATTTTATAAGATTGAATAGATACCAGAAATGCAAAATTGCTACACATGCAGTTTAATTACCGAACATCGTAAGACATTTTCACTTGCACTAATCCACATGCTTGTGCAACAACAATCAAGCTTCAGTTCCAAAAGTAAAATAAAAAGCTGGACAGAATATTGTTGTTTAAAGAAAAATGTGGAAAAAAATGTAGTACCTAAACATTAAACACCGCTTATTCCTCTGAGTTTTTATATCTGCAGTTTCGCAGAATTCTTCATTTTAGGCGATCAGATGGTTATTGTATCAACCAATGAATAGTTGGTTATTCAGCACATCGATTCTTTCTAAGGGATTGCTCTCCTCGCAAAACAAACGTACGTATTTGTTAATACATTTTAATTGTTTACTTGGGACACCGTTCGAATTATTGTAACGAAACGAAACTGTTTGCAGAATTATTAGTAGATAGAGTGACTGTAGAAAAAGAGTACCTTTAAAAACCTAGTCAACTACCTTGAAACCAACTTGATTTTATTAAATCACACCAAGAGAAATGTACAAAGTGTTTCGAGAATGTAGATCAATCATGCGAAGACTAATAAGAAATGATGAGTAGAATATGTTTTTGTTTAATCTAATCTGTACTCTCTAGATTGACCGAAAATTTTCAACTCTAATTATTAAAATGAGAAATAAATTAAAAATTATACTGAATTATACTGAATGTGTGCAAAAAATAAGATTAGATGTATCTATGTACTATATTTATTTAGATAAAAAATATTCTTTTCATCTTCTGAATAACTGTTTACACATTCTCAAATATTCTGCATAGCCGTTTGTTAAATCTGTAGCACAATGTCATTTTCTTCAACGTGTGAAAAAATTGATTAATTATATTAGTTATTATTTAATTAGCGTCTATAAAGATATAGAGTCGCACGGATGCGTATAGATTTATTGCTTTGATATATTTAATTACCAGGTATATCGCTCGGTTTATCCAGTGCATGTTTCAATCCAAAACTATACTCGGGGGTTTTGTCAAGATTCACCTTTTCGGTGCAATAGTCATTCGGTGCTGCGATTAAGATTAGGATTTTTAGGTCGACACTCATCATAGACATATTTCAATAAAGATATTTAAAAATAATGTTATACAAACAAGATTAAAATCTAAATGTCTAATGATTTATGAATGAAAATTTCTTCACAGGGTATTAAATATGTATATCTAATATAATAATAATATCTATATAAAATATACTCACCAGGTGTGCAACTGATTTTCTCGGTTTGCGTTTTGACACCGAACGAGTATTTCGGCGAGCTATCTAGAATAATCTTCTCGGCCTTCTCCGGATTATAGTCGCCAGGAGCTGGTGTCACTTCCTGTTTCGTGGATTTTGATCGGCCGTGCAACGATGATGCTGGTGCAGCATCTTTTCCTGCACGAACGAATACACAATTTAACAAGTTTTATTATCAAAATAAATAACGAAGACTTTTATTAAGAAATAATAAATTTAAGAGACTAATTAAAAAAAAAGTTTTTTAAAAATATTAATTATTTTTAATTAGCTTCATTTAATCCACAATTAAATAGAAATTGCTATATTAATAAATTTAATAACATTGTTAGTAATATTATTATTATAATTATAAATATATATTAATACAATAATGTTATTATATTATCAATATTATTATAAAATATAAAATATAATACTATTATAAAATATAAAAATATAAAAATATAATTAGAAAATATAAAAATATAAAAATATAATACTTTATATAAAAATAAAAAAATATAATTATAAAATATAAAATATAAAATTATATAATATATTATAAAATATATACTATAAATACTAATAAAAATATATATAAATACTATTATAAAATATAAAATTAAAAATATAAATATATTATTATAAATACTATTATAAAATATAAAGTTTATATATACATTATATGAATTTTTAATTTGTACAAATTATTATAATAATATTAGTATTTTACATATTATATAGAAAAGTCTTAAAGAAATGGTATTATTAATAGACAAGTAATGGAATTTCGTGAATAAGGCGCATTAAAAATTACTTAATTCTTGTGGAATATCAGTGATGTAAAGTTTGATCGATAGAACACGGAATACCACTGTCCATAGTATTCGTTTCGTGCTCACATACCATTGCCAGCTCGATGAATTTCTCTTTATAACTTTAATTTTTGTTCGCGATGAATCGATAATCTGAACTTGCTTTTAATTTATGATAGCATGTTAATCCTTTATGCACAACAAATCTATGAAATATATATATATATATATATATATATATATATATATACATATATGTCATGTGAGTAAATAAATTAAAAATAGATAATGATGAACTCATACATGAATAAATTAAAAAAAAAAATATATATATACATATATAATATTAGATTCGGCATAAGCAATTGAACGGTAATAGAAAATTAATAAATAGATTTTATTACCTTTGGCACTAAGCCCGGAAACATTGTACTGACCAGGACCCGGTCCAGGACTGTCGTTTTTCGTTGCGTGTCTAAAACAATGGGAAAACAAATATTTTAACTTA